TAATAACTGAAGAAATTTTGGATAAAATCGGAACTCGATTTAAACACTCGCCTAGAAAGCGTCTTGCATAAGAAATTGGAGTATAAAAAGGGACATCGAGAAAAGTTACAAAATTATTATACAAAACCACATTAGTCCACTCGCTACAGTCACGTGGTTCAGTAGACAGAATTCAGCTCTGTGACAGACATCTTCAGTGAATGGGGATAATTTAAATTTAAGTCTTAAAAAAATTCCAATCTCGCATGCGAAATGACTCAGTAAATCATTCATCGTAAAGCTATACAACTAGAGAGAGTGAGACAGAATCAGTTTAGAACGTGTACGGAATGTTACAGAGTCGTTGGAAAACATTTTCATCAATACGTGTAACATATATATGCGTTCAATACTACTGCAAATCTGTCACTGGTTTTTAACTAAAATATCCTCGCTATAATTATCGCTTTGAAATTTTGGTTCTACACCCACCTGACATTCATATCTCCTTTGCAACTTCTTCAAATGATGGCTAATTTGAATGTTACTACAAAACAGAACGGAAAACAAAGAATACTTTCCTAATGAGGAGCTCGGTATATAAAAGGTCGCTGTGAATAAGGAAGTTGTCTTTTTTTTATAAAATGTCATGTACCTTAGGACATCATAAAAACGATAAATTTGAGTTACGTTGTACGTGTCACCATGGTTACAATTATTTCAATACACGGAATGCGTCACAACTTCCTGTTGCAACGACAGTGGGAATAAGGTAACTAACCAATTGCGTGTTTGAAGATGATTTAGTTAGCGTCTCCTCGGTTCTTGCGCCTTGTAATATTAAAACGCAAATTAAACAGGATGTTCGCTTGGGATGAGGTCTACTTGCGGACTCACATAAATACAACGTTTTATTTTTTATTTATTTAGTGTTCTGTCTGACGCCAGGTCCATATGAACAGGATCCTTCGATCCTTTTCTCGGACTGGGACCTGTTCATATACGTTCTTGGCAGATGATCCAGAAGTGGTTTGCCATTGCCTTCTTCTGTGTGTGAATGGGATGCCACGGAGAAACCGGGGAAGCCCCCGGAGGAAAACTCCGTGTTGCCTAGACCACGGCCTTGCCCAACACAAGTTATAAATTCTGGCACCGCCGGGAATCGAACCCGAATCCAGCGTTCTAACCGCTAGACCACCGTGGCCATCATTTATTTATTTAGTGTTCTGTCTGACGACAGGTCCATATGAACAGGATCCTTCCATCCTTTTCTCGGACTGGGACATGTTCATATACGCTCTTGGCAGATGATCCAGAAGTGGTTTGCCATTGCCTTCTTCTATGTGTGAATGGAGTAATTGTTGGGATGCCACGGATGGTAGATGTTTGTTGACGTTTCAGAGGTTTTGGCTGTCTCCATCATCAGAACCCTAATGACTGAGGCAGTAAACATATCTAAAATGTTTTATAAATTTCTACCAGATTATACGCTACAAAAACACATAACATATTCATAATCGCCACTGTGAGAATTTTAAATCTCTCGAAGCCACGAGTCTGACGTCGTCATGACACAGAGCACTATAGTTCACATTTTCACCGCTGTGAAAACCTGATGATGTATAGACCTGCTCTTAATCAGCATCCATTAATATCTATCGACGATGATATCTGACACGACCTTTATTAATTTCTAGAATCTATCACGTCGTGTATAAACGTTGGTTCGTGCAAGTAATCCAGTGGCAAATCTTTGTCTGCAAATTTGGTCATGTGTAAATGCGATATTATTAAATTTTCGCAAGTGTTTTTTCTATGATGCTCAGGTATTTTTTTGGTTATTGTTATTCTGCTGTTGTGTTATGAAGTAATTTAATCTCAAATTATTTTTAACACGTGCAAACACCATAAACGTACATCATTATCCAGCCACAGGAGAATTCATTTCGAAAGTTTTACCTGATATTTATTGATTACTTGAAATGGAACTGCTCTCCTGTCCACTACCGTGAACTTTCTGTGACCTGGTAATGGATATTTGTCTTCTTGAAGTCTGTAACTAAGTCTTTCTTCATTTAAAACAGAGAGAGATGACTCAATCTTTTTCCTGGCTGATCTTTGGTGGGCTGAGAAACTTCGTTCGACGGGATGCAAACTAAATTAGCCACTTTATACGTCTGTTCAAAAGTGGTAGACATGTTGTTTGTATAGTAACTCCAAACGAAGTTTTCCTTTGATGTCTTCTGAGTCATAGTTTTTCAGCATTGCACATTCGAAGATGCGATCGCAAAATTGGACTATGTTTCGTATACGTTGTTCAGGAAAGGTACAACTAAACTTGTATGAGTTGAATTTCGTAAAAAAATTATATTTCTTCAGTGCTACACAAACATGAAGGTAAATTAATGATTTGGTTTCAAATAGTTTCTTAGAAACGTACTTTGTATATTTTCTTTACAGAATTCATTATGTCGAAATATTTATTCCGTTTCTGTGTCTTTGCGTTCTGTCACGTGGTTTTACGCCGTCCACAGAAATGGAAACCCTGGGTTACGTTCGAAATTATTTCATTTTAATTGCGTAAAAAAAACTACGTTCAAGAATTTTGTTTAAAACACACGAAAAAAATGTCAGATTTTGCAAACGCAGAAGAAGAGAATTAACTAGGTAACTGTTTTAAATGTCCGCCATTTTGTCACTTGTAGCCTACTCTTCAAAACCGGCTCCTTTCTGCTCCCAAAATATTGTAGAATCAAAATTGTGTACCCCTCAATTACGTTCATAAAATGTGAACTAAATGACCTTCTGGTGGCAGCTAAAGAATGAATATTTTCTTTTGAGGTGTTAAGTCTAGGTATAAGTTCTCCTAGTGTATCTAGAAATAATAATCGCCTTTAAGGAGGAAGAAACTCTTAAATTCTCAATATTATTAAGGCTCTGAGGTAGCAGTGCATATGAGCTGCTTCTTAATTTTGTTTCAAAAATTCATCTAGCGTTACTTCATAGATGGCTATTATAAAATCGTATTGAATTACCAATAATATTCCCTTCGAAACAGTAGCTAATTCTAGACTATCAGTCAGAGGAGAGTCATAATCTATTAGTAAATGCATAATAGGCTTCTGTTAATAGACGAATCAGATTGGTAATGATGTATAAAAAGTAGTTTCTAATTAGTCAGCTGGAAGGTCACATCGATTAATCGTTTGAAATTACTCGGCTTTTATAATCTCTTTTATTGTGAATAAGATCTTCTCGGGCGATCAGCCGCGTTAACTGGTTATCGTAGTAAACCGACGTTTTGGGAACTAATTCTGTCTCTATCATCAGGGTTCTGATGTGACTGGATACCTCGGAAGTCGCCTGTGTTATTGATTGTACTCGCCTCAAATCCTATATCTTTTATTGTGCTCTAAGTTATTAAATTTGAGTTGATTGTCATAAACGTCATCAATTCTTTGGTGACCTATATGCAGATGGTCTAGTGCGCGCTGTAAATGTTTTGCAGAAGACTTGTTCCTTTTCCTGTAAAAAATTAAAAATATTTAAGTTGTCAAACATCAGCAATTTTCAGTATAATATTTCATATCTTTGCGGGCTGTTGGTCCACTTAAACGTTTTATCCTTATTCTTTCGTCAGCATTGTACAGCCCTGTTTTGTTTCGTCAGTTCCTTATTTGTTTCATTATCATTATTAGCGTGATGGCGGACATTGGATTCTGGCCTCGATAATTCATCGACTCGTGCTGGCAGTTGCAGAGGAAAAAGTAAGCGATAAACCACGGTTTCGTAGCATTTCATCTATGCACTGTTGCCGGAATTTGCCTCGTAAATGTAACTTATATCTAAGGAAGACAACAATGAACGACGAATTAACAATGTTTTGAATAGAATTCTGTGGAGAGTAAACAACAATTTCTAAACGCCTGTCTATAAATGCTATTGTAGATGGTTGGTTGATTATGTACTGTTCGGTCACATTTTAATTCCACTGATACGAAAACAAAGAACGGAAATGGACGAAAGAACACGAACTGTGAGAGTGTGAACTTCACTGAACAGGTTACTTGGTGGTAATTTAGCGATGTTATATCAACCTGTTACTCTGAGTTATTATTCACCCTGTAGGAACGCTTCCGAATTCTTGGTGTGAGTGCTAAAGCACAAATCAAGGACGTTGATCCTGGTGATAGCACAACTGTAATTTGACGTATTTCCGGCGAGGCCTGTTATGAGTCTTCCATCTTCACACACTGATCAGTGCTCAGGCGAGCTGCACCGCTGCTACACGGTTTGTCTCCGAACTGTAAGTACACAATGTATGCTTCTTTCTGTAGACATTTACACCGCAGTGCTGGTCCGAGGTTAGTATACACGATGTTTGATGTGACGACAGACAATGAACTGTTCTAGAGGTGAATCACGAAACTTTAAAGTGCATGCGAAATATGTTTTCTGCGCTGGTATTGTTTTAATAACAGAGAATAACAAGTGAACTGAGAAAATTACTCAGTGTGGAACTTCATAATTTGTACTCTTCAATTGATGTTAGAAGTGGTTAAATGAAGCAGGATGAGTGAAGTGGGACATGAAGCATATATGGAGGCAGTGATAAATGTTAATACGAATTTGGTTAGAAAATCTCAAAGGAAGTTCTAATTTAGGGTATCTCGATGTGCATAGGAAGGTATTAAAATATATCTTAGTAAAACAATTGTTTGGGTTCGGACTGGAATGAAGATGCTAAGACAGGCTATAGCGGAGTTCATGAACATGGCGATGAACCCTTGAGTTATGTCTACACGAAAAGGTGGAATCTGTTTAACAGCTGAGCAACATCGTAACTAATCCATATATTTTAGTAGTTCTGAATACAGGCTGTATATAGTTCCATTAACTCTCAAATGAAAGGCTGTGATTATAGTAGGATTTGAAGTTTTCATGGCGGTGAGTCTCAAGATGGCTGTATTCTGGGTTGTTGCGCTGTGTAGTCTGGTAGAAGTTTACCGACGTTTCAGAGGTCCTTTCTGCCTTTATCACCAGATAACTGACAATACAGAGAGCCCGTTACTAGACATGATCTTGAACCACTCGCATCCACACAACACATTCTACAACCTCAATCTTAAAATTGTACTCGTATCTCCATGCCCTCAACATACGCCATGTAGCAGACCATTAAAATGGAAGTTCCACGTTTCTACCGTGTAACTTTATACATCGTTTAAAAATGTTTAACCAACTCCATAATGCATGTCTCGTCACTGAAAAGAACCTATTCGTCCAGTCAGTAATTTGTCTCAAAAGAGAGAGAACTGGTTCACTGAACAACAAATATTTATTGCCTGTTCAGAAGAGCCCACCTTTGATCTTTGTCTTGGCACTGTTTAAACCACTCCACACATTCACAATCTCTATCTGTAAGATCCACTTCAATATTATCCTCACATATAAGCCTGTGTAACAGATATCCGAACCAAAATTTTTAAAAGTATTTTTCGTTTCCCCTTACGCGGGACACGTCTCATTCTTCTGTTTTTCGCTACGATTTCAGGTTAAACGTACAGATTAAGCAGTCCTCAATACATGTTTTTCAGGATAAATTTCGTGGTTGTACTCACTCGTCAGCCAGGAACAGAATAAAGTCGTCACCACTTGACGTCATCATGGCGCTACATGAAAGGGAAGATGACGAAAAAGCATTTTAAAACTTTCACGTGATGACCATAATTAGGGCTGACGTCACTCAAACTAAGTACTTCAAATTAGCAGTCACATCAGCGGCCAAGAGTAACCGGAACTTAAGAATATAGTGAGAGTTTATAAAATAATTAAGCGTACACTGTATAATGTGTTTCGTTTCTATTACAAAAACAGAACTTATCTGAAACTTTCGCATACTTTGGTGTGTGGAGACTTGTTTCCATTCCGGCGACGTTAGCTGCTATGGCCTTTCACTCTGAATGAGTGAATTATGATAATGTATAACGAAAACATTGGTTTCCATGTTGGACACGGTGTTTTAGGGCGCTGAAGTCAAGCGATGGGCTTCACGTGTGGTTAGCGTGGGGAGCCACAGGAATGCATGTAGAATTTTATCAAACTCTGTAATTGGAAAACTAAGGAGATGGGAGGAAAATATTAATTTGGGTCTTCAAAAAAGAAAGGAAATTCATATAATATGTCAGCAGTTTAAAGTGTCAAGGAAATTACTAAAAAGAATATTTGATCTATTCCAAAGAAGGATGTTATCTGCGAATATGTTAAATAGGCAGTTTGCCTGAACTTCAAAGTTACAGTCTTACCACCTCTCACAGAATTTCCCAATACCAGATAGACAGACATGCTGACGGGATGGTAATATTAAAATTGATAAGCGGAAACTCGATAGTGTATTAATTTAAATCCTTCAGGACAATTTCCAGCAACAAGTGTTGTGCCGTCTACAACTGACAGTCGGGGTTTCATAACAGCAAGTGATTTATTAACACCTGTTCAGATCCCTTCAAGGCCCGCCAGTGTTTATACGATAAAGTTTGCCGGATGTAGAATCTCCTTGGTGCGTGTACTTCGCATTAAACAGACGCGGCATGATTAGCTCCCCAGACACTCACAACTGCCATCATTATTTGCAAAGGGGGACTAGTAATGTATCCCCTAAGATTAACCAGACACTCACACAAGCCATGCAGAGTAGCATATACGATCAAATTTGTTCAATTACCGAGTCAGCGATGTGTAATTTGAACTCTTCACCAAGAATATAATCTGGCGGAAATGTAGCACGCACAAGAGAAATGCAGACAAAATTTTAATCCTGAAATCTTCAAGGGAAGAGACCATTTGGAAGACACACAGTGTCACTTAATCCATTCTTGCTCACACGACTCTGCAGTAACTAAAACATTTAATGACTTACCTTCATAGATGATGCTTTGCTATTGCTACTAGTATATTTACGTGCATATTTAAAACATTATTTGTTTGCTTCATTAGAATGTAATAATTTGGTTTCTAAGATTGCTAATGTAATCCTTGTACATTAAAAAACAAAATTAAGCTGGTAGGAGAATAGCAAAGTATATTTCAGCGATATGTTATCAGACTTTCCTACCTTCAATGGCCTCGACTGACTCAGGATAACTTCGGAGGACGTGGATTCCTATTCGAAAGTTGTTCTCTCTTGAGTCCCTCTATATGCTCCTTAAGTTTGGCCCTAACATTTTGAATCACCCTATAGACGGAAAACTCGAGACAAATTTTAAATGGGTGTCTCCCAAAGACATCAAACCTAACCTAAGCCTGTGCAGTTCTAAGAATATTACTTTCACATAAAGACTGTCTGTTTCCAGTCACGCAGAATAAATAATATTCTACTCATATCTGTAGTTTGCTGGTAGTGAGGGGCTGAGGCACTGGGTGTGTCTGAGGAAATACCAGAGAACTGGTAGAAGTTATGAATAAAGAAAATTACTTACATCATATCCGTAGACTGCCACATCCCGTGTTTGTAGTTTGACAGCTCCGAGGGTATGAGGTAGAGGGTATTTTCAGTACGAGAGCGTTATTACAAATTCTAAATGCAGAAGCTGACATATATTCTATTATACAGGGTGAGTCAGAAGTATGTTTACAAACTTCGTGTGCGCGTTCCAGGATCAAAAATAAGAAAAAATGTTTCTATGAACATCGAGCCGCAGATGTTTCATTTTTGATCCTGGAACACGTACAGAAAGTTTTTAAACATACTTCTGACTCACCCTGTATATTCCAGTAGTGACTAGTAGAAAATGTTATTTCCCTCAACAGAATAATTTTCTCCTCGTAATAATAAATCAAAGTTTAAGGAACAACAGAAACTGAACAGGCGCTAATTCCGGACACTGAATCTGATAAAGAAATGTCATCCGACAGTGAAACCGATCTTGATGAAGTGGGTGATGACAGTGCGACGCGAAGCCTAGATAAAGTAAGGTGAAGACCACATTATCCACATAATTCTGGTGGTATTCGTCCATTCATTTGAGTTATCAGTGGACACTAGATGGGGGTGAGCGGTCAGCGTCACGCCCCAGCCCCGCTTTATCCTCGGGGAAAGGACCTCGGTACCAATTGGATAGGAGGTTGGGTGGGCCCCAGAGCCGGTCTGGATGCAGAGGCTAGAGGAAAGATTCTACGCCCCTGTGAGGGACCTGAACGAGTAACGGTGGCAAAATCACTTTGCCGTTCGAAGAGAAAGTAACTTTCAAGCAAATATCCCCAAGAAAGATAAACACTTTAATATGAAGATTTACAAACTGGTTAGTTTAGAAAGGACAGAAAAATGTAACACAGATGACAACTACTCAACAGGAGAGGGGAAGGGCGTGGACATAAACTTCACACAGACAAATTTTGATTTTTTCCATATTTATTTAATTATAAGCATACAAGAGCTATCAACTTTTGTGGAACTGTCAGAAAGATCTGTGACGGAATACTGGGGGACTCTGACGACAAGACACTAAATTTCGAATGGGGTGACGTAAATGCTGAGTGTGAGGTAACTTGACGGCAGTAATTTAAAACTTGACGCAACGGGCAAATGCCAGCTGTACGATAACGCGTAACGCACACAAGGGAACGGACTGGTCGGTTAAGTCAAAACCTTAGCTTTAATATACAGAGCCCATCTAGAATTGACTGTACAGAAAACTTCAGCTGCCAGTACGTTGTGTTAGGGTGCAAGAAAATTACTTATATTTGGAAATTAAAGATCAAATTTGTGCCAGTGACATGCACAAGATGGCAGAATGCCCATCAAAGGCGTGGTATTTACCAGTGCAGAGTTTATGTGCCAGGATCTGATACGAAAGACTTGAGAAACGTCAAGCACGTATCTTCTTATACTGAATAAGTACATAAATATAAACCAGACATTTTACACTTCTTATACTGAATAAGTACATAAATAGAAACCAGACATTTTATGTTAGGAATCAAAGCAGAGCTCACAGAATGTACATGAAATATTATGTATAAAATTATACACCATGATTGTCACAGAAATTTGAGCATTAATGGTATGTTTCGAGCATATATTCAATTTGTATCGTGAACGTCGAATCAACGGTATATTTGGCACATCCTTCTAGTTTATGAGCTTGTCACGTCTGCTTATCCCTTACATCGATCTGCTATCTCAAGTGTTTTTAACACCAGCATAGTTCCCTACGTGCGCAAAAAGACAAGGTTGTAAATTAGAGAAACGTGCAAATAAACATTTTAATTTTATGTTTTTGGTGTAAAATGAATATATGCTTCTGTGATAATTACACAACATAATTTTGTACATAATTTGTTTCTAAACATTCTGTGAGCCCTTCAAATATAAAATTATGTACGGTTCCTATGTATATATGTACTCTCTCTCTAAACATGTGTACATGCGCACGTGCACACACCAGGTGTGATGGCACACATCTTAACTGTACTTTCCAATTTCAAAGAATCTTTTCACACCCTTCCACAGCACGTGAGCAGCTGAAATTTTGTCTATCAATACTAGACGAGCTCTGTAAACATGCAATCTTTCAGATGAGGTCTCGATGTGACCAACCACACCATTCCCTTATCAATCAAGATAAAAAGAAAAATTACAAATTTTCAGTGCACTTGCACATAGACCTGTGTTTTTTCATATTTTCCATACAAAAGTACAGTCTAAATGAACCTTCTGTTGCACTGTGGAAAGAACACTTACTCATGCAAGTGCAGAACATTTGTATTTATATATTCTGTACTTAATTTAGCAATCTATAACTTGTTTTAGAAAAAAATCTATTTTATAGTATTAATATATAAAACTAAAGAACTGGGAAATATATTTTCTTTCAAGAAACTTTTACTACACTAACGTAGGAGTAACAGTTTCATAGATACACATTTTGTCAATATTAATACCGTTACTAGTTAAATCCCCAAATCTGGCTCCAAATCTAGTAAAAGTAAAGTAAAGTAAAGTTTGTCCCACTACACGCCATGTAGGCGTTTGGGGTGAGTGGAGGTATAGCTCCTCTCTTCCTTGACCTCGGCACTAGATGGGGGTGAGTGGTCAGCATCACGCCCCGGCCGGCTTTACCCCCGGGAAAGGACCCCGGTACCCATTGTAGAGGAGGCTGGGTGGGCCCCAGAGCCAGTCTGGACGCAGAGGCTAGAGGAAAAATCCTCTGCCCCCGTCGGGGATCGAACCCCGGCCGTCCAGCCCTTAGCTGGTCACTATACTGACTGAGCTATCCCGGCTCATCGGTCTAGTAAAGTAAAGTTTGTCCCACTATACGCCATGTAGGCGTTTGGGGTGAGTGGAGGTATAGCTCCTCTCTTCCTTGACCTCGGCACTAGATGGGGGTGAGTGGTCAGCATCACGCCCCGGCCGGCTTTACCCCCGGGAAAGGACCCCGGTACCCAGTGTAGAGGAGGCTGGGTGGGCCCCAGCGCCGGCCTGGACGCAGAGGCTAGAGGAAGAATCCTCTGCCCCTGTCGGGGATCGAACCCCGGTCGTCCAGCCCGTAGCTAGTCACTATACTGACTGAGCTATCCCGGCTCATTGGCTCCAAATCTAGTGGTGAGGGCAATTAAATATACTATAACCTACAATAAAGGTTAAAGAACCCAACAACTGAAAGTAAGAACCACAGTAAAAGATAATGGAAAACACTCAGTACAGTGGACGGAATATGTAAAAAGTACGGATGGAAGATGCAAGACTTGCCAAAAAAGTTCATAATTAAAAACCTCAGGGGAGAATAACAACTCAATGAATGCGAAAGTAATTCTGAGTCTCCTGAGAAGGAGGAAAATAGGATAAAGAATAAGCAGTAGCAGCAGCAGTAGTTTCGGCATGAGTAATAAGTAAAAAAGAATACCATAAGTTAATGAACGATGTTATTAATAAGATAAAATGAAGGAAAGAGTCAATAAAACTAATTACCAACATAAACCAAAGTACACAATAAAACCCGCTACGCTATAATTTGCAGCGTGTATTTGTTCTATACTTGCGCATCATTTTCATAGTAATTGAATGATATATTTTAGTGTTATGATGTTCATAAGGACGGCGCCAGGCAGTTCGATCCACTGTAATTTCTGATCGACGCTTGATCCCAGGAACGTGAACAAGAAATGCTCCATCCAAAATCACAAACCGGTAACCTTGAAGGCACATCTCATTCATCTGTTGAAACAAAAATCACATATTAAAATCATCACAAAATTTCCTACAATTCTTTCTTTCTATGTGTGCTACTGAAATTTTGTTTACAAAAATTTCTGTGTATACAAGCAAAATTTCAGGCAAGGTTTCAACCTGACAAACTGAACCATTCCCTTATTAGTTTCTAAGCTACAGAAAACATTCACAGGACTCGAACACCAGGACAGTTTTTTTTGTGGTTGTGGCCATTGTTCCTGTAATCTCCTCATCAAAACAAACAATTTAATTCTTGGGAACATTCTTCCATCATTCTTAGTTTCCATGATACACAACAGCGTCAAATGGCGCCAGCTATCAAACGATCAGACAATAAGTGCGTCATAATTACAATGGTGTTCCAAGCAACCTCTGTCCACTTCAAATCAGACGGCAATGCGCCAAATGGCATTCTCCGCAACACGTCTTAACATGTTAGCATCAACCATTGTCAGAGCTACTTGAAGTATTTCCATTTGATCTTCAATATTCCTCGGAGGTGCTGCGTAAACATGCTCCTTCAGGTGTCTCCACGGGAAAGAACCCTTTGAAGTTAATCTCAGAACATACGTTGTATAACATTTTCAACTTATTTCTTAACAAGGAAGCTCAGTATGGAGATCTTGTGCGTGAATTTCGTTCCATCCTGTACATGCAGATTTACTATGAGTTTTAGTGTAATATAACCAACTTCGAGAAGCTGAAGTGGTAGAGAATATGCATTTGTTAATTTCACAAATGGATTCCAGTTCAATCTGTAATCACCTGAGTCATCTTATCCTGTTGCCCTTCCCATGTCAATTGTTCACTGTAGAGAGGTTCTTCATTGGTTCCAATGTAAACAGGTTCCCAGCGATGATATGGGAACTCACGTCGCACCACCAGCAAGGGCTGGGAACAAAATTACATTAAATTAATGTATTTCTTGCCTCACTCATCTCAATCTCCTTGCTATTAAGTGCTAAGAATACAGATTACAGAGCTCATGTTCATATGTTTCTCTTCTTCCTTCTTACTGTAGTTGATAAACCTCGTTAAATATATCACATATTAAGCAATCATTAGACATTTTATTAAAATGTGCAATGCCAAGACACGCGTAAAAGATATGGGTAAAGAATGCACTATAATTTTTTTATTTGAGGGAATGTAGTATATTTATCTGTTTCAATGCTTGGAATAATTTTGATAACATGAAATTTTACAAGAAAATGCATTTTTAAAAATGAAATAGCATCTTCTCTCCCAACTTGATGTAAATTTAAGCTTTTATTAATTGTTAGAAAAAAAATTGACCTGCTCTTCGATCCTTTACTTTTTCATTGCTTGTAAGAACAGACAGCATTTGTTCAGTTAAATGTATTTTTCCTGTCTCCCTTTTTATTATATTCCATGTTCTTATCTTATTGTTTGATTTTCCTATAAGTCTACTGTAATACTGATTTTTAATCTCTTTTATAACATTATTCAGGATTTTACAATACTTAATACAAAATGCTCTTATCATTACTGTTCTTACTGTAGATATATACACTCTTTTCACATTTGCAAGATATTTTTATTCCCTGTGTAATCCAGTCATTCTTTATTTTGCCTATACTTTTATATTTAATTGGAAAACTAGCTTCAAATATATTTAGAAACATATACGAAAATGAGTTAAAGTTATTGTTGGTATCATTGTCTTTATGAACAGATTCCAATGTTTCTCTCTTTAAAAGCTGGAACTGCATTACTGTTTCACTATTTACACATCTTGTTCTCTGCTTCTATTCTGTAGGATACCCACATTTTCTGAAAGCCTCTTTCACAGGCATCTTTATTGACAGATGTCAATTTTGATAATAATCATATAAAGTGACTGGTACAGCACAAAACATAAACTTGTTTAAGATCTACAGAATTTTTCAATAAGGTGAATATTTAACAAGGTACAAAGAAATACAATTATTTATTTCATGTAATTTGATCATCTTTAGATTTGTCTCAAAATAAATGAACATCAAGGCCACTGAGATAGAACTGCAAAAAATGTTTCTTTGTTTGTGATCTTCCGAGTTTTGATGTTGTGCTGTATTGCGGGTGGTTGCCAATGTTTCCATATCTACTCCCACCCCACAGATGGAAGCAATATGTTTCTACAAAATGTTGGTAACCATGTAATACAATTAAATAATGTTAATTCAGAAGATCACAATTCACATACACCAGTGTGACAACTTCCAAACATTTCATTTGGAAAATATGTGGACTCCACCGGAGTATAAACACTTAGCCAATTTCATCCCTTAAGATTCAAAAACTCTTAGATAATAAGTTCCAATCAAGGGGTTGCTGTTATCCAAAACTTCTAACAATGAACAAATTACTGGTTTTAGAAACCATGCTGGGATGAGGAAAACTACAGTCCAAGAAAACTATGAAGCCGAAGACAACTGTGGAATCTGGAAACCTTGCGAATACATCAGATGCCTCAGACAGTAATTACAGTAAGTCATAATAGATATTTCCATTACTCTGACCCAAAACATTATTGGATTCTCTCCTGTAACAAACCTACTGAACATGTAATTCAGCACAAACTTTTATAAGCTGCATTTAAATTTTCCAGTCCAATGTCAGGACATTTACAAAATGGAAGTTCAGTGATGGGGATAAGATCCATTCCTCAGCTAAGTACAGCTTTTTGTCACCCTCTCCAAAGTTTGATGATTTTCAAAGAGCTTACAGCAAGGACCCAAAAGAGTGTTGTTTCTGTCTGTAGAACATATCTAAATTCAGCATACTGGCACCACTGTGAGGGGGGGAGGATACGCTACTTCATCCAGTAAATGTAATATTATGCAGTGATTTTATCCCAAAAATCTATATGGCGCATTAGTTCAGGGACTGTCAGCTCAAACACGTTCATAGATCCGGAAAACTTGAACAATAACGTGGACATCGATAGGGCTTACGAAAATATTAGACTATCAAAATTTTAGCAAATATGAGTCCAGGTCATCGTGAACAGAAGCATCATAAACCATGGTTTGACAAAGAATGTTCAAAATTATTAGACAGAAGGAAGTAGGTTAAAATGCAGTGAATGCAAAAATCAAATTAATGGCAATAATATGGACAATGCAAGACATGAAACTAGTAGAACTTTCATGACTAGAAAAATAGAATATCTGAAAGACCAAATTAATGGGCTTTAAAAACAGTAAGAATAAAAATATCAGGGACATGTGCAATGGAAAGAATCTAATGTATCTATTCATCAGAAAAGTGAAAAAATGAAATGAGGTAATTATCAAGGAATGTCACTAATACTAACTCCATACAAAATTGTCAAGGTAAACTCCATATGCAAACCAAATTACTGGATATTATCAGTGTGGATTTCAATGCAGCAAAACTGTTTCTGATCAGATAATTTGCATTTGTCAGATGCTTAAAAAAAATGGAAGTCAAATGAGGTAATATAGAAGCTATTTGTAAATTTAAAGTAGTCTTGATTCATTATTACACAACATTCTCATTGAAGTCAGTATGCTATGCTACCTGTGAAACTAGTTCAGCTAAGTAAAATGAGTTTGAAACCTTTATTAAAGTTCCTATAGGTCTGTCTGACGTACTTCCCATTTTTGATGTATTTGCCTACGAGAGAACACAGCCAACAGAGCAATACGTAGCATTCATTAACATTAATCCTATTTTTTTATAAAATTGGGCAGAGATTGGTACCCTTGTTTAATAGACAGCTGGCATAAATCATCATAGTTAATGGAAGGCAGAAAAAAGCCACATACCAACACGACACAACAAAATGAATTATGATGCCAGCTGTACACTTAAAACATTTCTGGTTTGGGACTTAGAAAACTTCAAGCACCTGGTTTTTGTTGTAGAGTGCGTGTGCTTCACCAGGTATTACTCGGATGATCAAATTCAGAAGGATCAGATATGTGGGGCGTGATGAGAAATATGTAAAAATTTGGTTGGAAAGCCTGAAGAGTAGGAGCCACTTTAAAGAATTGGGAATAAATGGGAGGATAACCTTCAAACTTAGGGAAATAGGATTGGAGGATGCAGACTGGATTCAACAGGTCAGGATAGGGGCCAGTGGTGGGGTCTTTTGAACACAGTATCGAACACTTTGATTACATAAATGATGGGTAATTTCATGAATAGTTGAGCATACTATGACCTTCTCAAGGATTACTGTTCCAATTAATGAGTCAGTCAGTTACATTGGAATATATTTCAAGTGTGCCCTCAGAATCATACAGTGACATAAGTTAATTCTTACCTTAATAGTGAGGTATCATACAAGAAATTAATGCAGATATGTACCTTCCCAGAACTGACCTGGAAATTGTACAAGCAGTCCTACAAATTTGCTAATGTGAAAATAATTATAATTACAAAGTTTAGTATATTCCCTCCAAAAAAAACTATGGTTTCTTCCCCAACAAAAAGAATAGGACATTTTCTCCCACTTACATCTCTTACTCTAATTAAAAGGAATTAAATAAACCCTTGTCCATTGTGTATTTGTCCAACATGGATTTGTGTGTACACCTAAACACAAACTCCATGGAGCAGAGCAGTATGCTCAGTTAGTTATTGGATTTGTGTGTACACCTAAACACAAATTCCATGAAGCAGAGTAGTATGCTCAGTTAGTTAAGAAATTCCACCCCCAAAACTCTATTTCAAAGGTCCATTTTAATACTCCCATCTCTGTCTAGGTTTTCCAAATGGTCTCTTCCTTCAGGCTTTCCAACCAAACTTTTGTATGCATTTCTTATCTCCAGCATGTACATTACATGTCCTGTCCATCTCATCCTCCTTCAATAATCACCCTAACATTTGATAAACTATAACTATGAAGCTCATAATCACACAGTTTTCTCCAGCCTCCCACGACTTCATCTGTCTTAGATCCTAATATTCTCCTCAGCACCATTCTCAAACACATTTAGCCTTCTCTTAACTTCCTTATGCATGCAAGAACTAATGCAAACAATTATTTTTCAAATGCAGTAAGTCTGAATATATTACTGCCTCAAAATGTCTACAGGTATGCAATTAAAACTACAGACGATGTTTTGACAAATTAAAACAGTTTTGGAAAGCATACAACATCAAAGACTGCACTCATGTTATCAGAATGGCATGGAATGAAGTGGAAACATTTATTATGAATGCATGCTGGTAATGTTTTTAGCCAGAAGTCATGTACAATTCCATGGGCTTTTCCACAGTTCAGGAAGAAAGTTCTGAGCTTACAAAGTAATGTGGACAGAAAGGGTTTCATGATACGAGAGATGGAGGCAGAAGAGCTAATATTCATTTGTGTTTAGCACGTGTGTATTCATGCATGCATGCATGCACGTGTATATAAATATTCTACAAACGTTGATAACAAAGGCAGATTTTATGTAAACACGTTCACATGGTCCATCTAATCCATAAAGCTTTAAGTCTGATCTATGCTAATTTATTTAATGTGCCATTCTCAGGGAAATACCCGCACTGGATCAGGGTTTACCTAATGTTCTGGATTCTTTGGTAGGCTTTACTGACAATATTATGACACGGTTCATTCTGTATTAAAGTAAATGCAGTTATAACTACAACAGTTTGAAGCTAGATATGTAAAAATGTTTTATCAAGAATTAATACAAAGACTTTTGACAAAAATTGTCAGGAGTTGGAAGGAAATAGTATGCAAATTAAGTAGTTACGACTGCTTCAAAATTTTGAACCGAGTGGTGAAAGAAAGAAAAGATAGGAAGAGGACATTGGCTCACTCACCAATTGAACTTTCAAATCTTGATATGCCATATGATATAAGAATTTACCTCAACCAAAAATTCTCAGCTATTATAAATACATTTAAGCAATAGTGGTTATACTTTCCTGCGTAATTATTTTTGTGGTAATACTGTAGCTATCTGTAAATTACTGTCATAACTATGTAATTTATATTTGTATTAGAAAGAAGTATTGTATTTGTGCTATTACATGTTCGACATCCTTTGCCTATGAAATGTAGATTCTGTTCTGTTGATCATATTTCATTTTCAAAACTAGTAACACTGAAACCTGTTTCTAATACAATCTTAAAGGACCCAAATGTTTTTCCTTTCCAGTCAAGCCTCCACTTTTTACTTCTAAGTAAAAAACTGAGAACACTATACACCTAAAAATGGATTTATAATCACAAGAGATTCATGCTACACATCTGTATTTAGGGTGTTACTGCAGTATGTTATTTTCTTCACTATTTTCTTGTATTCATTTTTTATTTTCTTCTTGAAAACCACCAACCTTCTATAAGCAGGATTTGGGGCTTTAATTGTGGAAAATACGAAGATGGCCGTCTTCTTGCCTGTTTCGTCTTTAGAGCTGACATGCTTCTTAAGTGGTTTATCTTTATTAGATTAATTATTTAATAACTTCCAATTACAAAACATTCCTGTGTCACACAGACCTTCATGCTGCACAAACATTCCATGACATTAAAAATTGCAGGCATGCAAAACTGTGAGAAGATAAAATGGTTCCTTCATTTCTACACATTGTAGACAAACGTTTATTTTACAGAATTAAGAGACTTTGCTACAAAATAATATGATACAGCACCGTGAACAAGTAAACATTTGAGCAAAAGCATTTTGACCAGCCAGAAAGAGGACAAACAAAACCTGAATGACTTTTGGCCTTTCGGTAGATGGTTTCTGTTGGAGCCACCTCTGTATTCCAGGAAACCTCTGGCAATGAAGGCAGATCCAGCGATGGAAGTATACAGCCTTGTTCTGTGTATACAGCTCCAAGAGTTCTTCTTTTGTACTGGGCACATTTGATTCTCTATCATCCACTTCAAATACAGGTAATACAAACACATATTTCTTCATGTGAAATTCATGCATGATTGATAATGGGCGATTAAGGTCAAAATCATCTTCATCACCTTCAGCATGTTGCTTTTGGAATCTTGACAGCATTGAAAGGAAAGCGGAAACTAAGTCTCGGCTTGGCAGAAGTTCCACGTCAGAAACCAGGATATGGGAGGTCTCGGCTGCCTTCCTTGCGACATTCCGTGCCACATTAACAGGATAAGTGAGACCCTCCCTTTGTCGGAAAGTTTTGAGTTTCCCGTCAAGCAGAGCTTCTGGTGCTGAACAGTCAGTGAAAGTTGGGTACTGATGAACATTTGAATTTGAATCATAACAACTGGGGAAGGCAGTTGATGTGAAAACTGGAGGGTGTGTTATTGGGAAAATTAAATGTATGGATAGTCTAGACATTTCAGGAAGGCACCGACACAGGTGATGCATAATTTTAAGGCTGAGCCCTGCATCTGTGCATGGGGCATATACAGCCAAACTCACTGGCCCATCCCAGCGCTGAACTACTTCAACAATATGGTATAGAAATTCTGGTGTGGCATGTGTACAGTAAGTAACACCAAATTTTGTAACTGGACCATTGCTTGCCATATTATCAGATACTTTGATAACATTGTAGATAACACGAAAAGGCCCCATCTCACCAAGTTCTGGACTAAAGGCAATGTAATTATCCGTCCAGTTAAAATGTTCTGGAGCCCCATAATTAAACTGGCAGTAACTCTCATTTTGGGGGAACATACCTCTGAGAAATTGTCCTGGTACAAAAGTGGTATGGTTAGGAACCTGTGGTGGGATTCGTGATGTGAAGCGTTCTCCACTGGGCAAGACAGCATTGTGGCGAGATGAATGCAACATTGAAGGCGAATTCCACGTATTTCGCCATCTAAATATTTCACTTAACAGTGTGAAACATGTAAAAGCAAAAAATAAGGACCCCAAAATTTTCGGACGGAAGCAACGCTGGAAGAAATAAATTCTCATTTTATGGTTTACCCTATGCTTAAGGAATGCAGTTTGGTCACTTGTGCACACCAATCTTACAATTTCCTAGCGCCTTTCTCAGGCACATTATTTCATAACCAAAATCATACTTTTACAGTTTACGTAATGTACTGGCATACGTGATAATGTTCCATTTTTATATTACACTCACAACTTCTACCAATCGATTCTGCCATTCATATTATTAACTAATCTACAGAACGATTCTATGTACTAACATATTCCAAAAACAACATTCACCGCATCCCGCAATGTCCGTATTTACCATGAAGCCGGATACATTCGAGATATCGTATTTTGTTGAGTCAAAGAGTCTAATGGGCAGTGTCAGCGATGTGTAACTTCAATAAACCGATTTCTATAAATAACATATTTCCAGTAATGAAAACAACCATCATGATACAAACTCGCATAATGCGCCAGAAACAAATCTCGTAATAACGCATAATAATTAGCCAAAGAAAACGATACGATAGGCCGATGATTTTCTACATAGTCCGTGTATCGCACATTTTGGGCGTGTTCCATCTGGACTTGCGTTGTCCTAGAGCTTTACATATGCCCTAGAGTACCTCAAAAGAAGGCATTTATTTATAGCAATTTGATAGCAGTTCTGACATCGTAATATTGGCCATAGCTATGTAGAGTATTGACCTATACTTCCCAGATGTGATTTATTAATCATTACTGACCATGCGAAGATTATTTTTAAAGATAATCACGTGGACATGATGTCACGCTCATTCAAGATCTGGACATTGGTATCTGAATGTACAGTAGAAGGAATACTCAAAATGCCTATATAAATAATATTTCACTCATGTACTTGTACTTTGCCAGCGGTGAACGGATGAGGTGGTCAGTGATTTTTGGGGTAGACCAGAGCTTTGTAAGCATTTTTTAATATAGAAAGTATTCTACATCATGTGTTTGTAGTTTGCTGCTCTGACTGATTTTTGGGGTAGACCAGAGCTTTGTAAGCATTTTTTAATATAGAAAGTATTCTACATCATGTGTTTGTAGTTTGCTGCTCTGACTGTTTGTAATTCGCCAGTGGTGAGGGGATGGCAGTGGATGAATTTGGGGGAGTAGTAAACCATAGCACTGTTAGAATTTTTTAATGCACAGACGAACATTAGGATCATTACTTTATATTTTGCCGCAGACAGCTTTGAAAGTTTGTCGGCGGAAAGGGGATGAGACGATGAGTGCAATCTTAGGGTGGTAAATCCAGAATCTGAAACCGTACTCAAGGTTGGATAGTGGAGAAATAGTATAAATGTAGTTCTCCCAGCTAAATACAAATTTCTTCTTGTTATAATGGCGCGAATTTTAAGGTGTATCATGAAAAATCAATACTGTCTAATTGTGGACTCCTATTCTGACAAAGCAATCTCACCTGAGAGTGACAGCAAGCATAATGTAGGCTGCATGCTAACGCGAGAAATGCCCATTCTTTCAGCAACTCCGTTTTTCACTTAATTTAAAAGAAGAGGTCCTCGTGATATTTCCCCTTACATGAAAATTACTTCTCTGGTCTGGCCGTGCATTATTTAATCCCTTCGAATCTGCTAGAGAGTGGTTTCTGACGCCATGATGCGAATGTTTGCAGAGCAAATAATAATGTGCGATGCATCCTCAAAGATGCCAGGGACTGGACTGTCTTGCCAGTCTCCATCTTCAGGACTGTTTCTCTGAAACGTGGGTACCTACAAATTGGCGCCGCGTTACTACCCAGAAGATTAGCATCGAAAAGAATATGGAAAGTTTCAAGGGGCAAGTTTCTTGCTCGTCTAACTACAGTGTACGTACGAAACAAAGCTTTGTCTTTTAACGTAGGGACCTGCTGTTTCACTGACTCCCAGAACTTTACGAACTCGACAAAATCTGGCCTTCTAGAGCGAGCTATAATCCTATAGAACAGCAGGAGTTACACGTGTTGTCAGTCACGTGTCTCAATGCTCAATGTGTCAAGTTTGTTTCCTGTCCTGAACACTTCATTGGAAACAGTGCAATGCAATTTTCGCAAATAATTGTAATTACACTGCGGAGTTCCACTTGTTCAGAGATGTCTGGGGGGTGGAATATGTGTCTTGACTGGTGAACTAAACCGACACTTATGTAATTTTCAAATAACATCCATATTTTTTGAAAAAAGTAAGTACATGTATCGATGCTGGTCTTCTACGAAATTTTGGTATCTGCCTGCAAGTACGTAAGATGTTATTACCCAGAATACCAATCAACATCTTCGCTGTCGCTACCTCAGATCTCATATAGTAAGTAAACATTTTCACTTTGCGTGACAATACAATCAACGCTACGTTCTAAATGAGAATTTCGCTTATTTTTATGTTGGCTTCATTTGTGAGCTATACTGACACAGACCATGGCGACTGGGATTTGAACGCGCCTGCGCATCTGCTGTCACGTGCCCTTGTCAGCCAATCAGCTTCGGGTAGTTGGCTATCAGTTATTCAGGTACTTCAAGCGTGAGATCAGACCCGGTATGTCAGTCAAAACATTGTCAAATTCAAGAGCTAACTTCTGGAACGTGCGATATAAGATTTTGAAGCGCATCGCAGTTTCTATTTCGCCCTATCTCTGCGCGCCACTCGCCTTCGTAAATTTGATAGGATTTATTTTTTGGTAAGTTAAAGTTGTCTCTGGCACTTAACTAAGCACTACGTATATTTATGGGGGAATGGAAGCATAGATCTACGCTTATCCTCAGTACTAAATTGAGGTGAGTGGACAGCTATACGCCACGGTCGCTTCGCCCCTGAGGGAAGAACCCGGTACCCATTGATTAGGAAATTGAGTGGGTCCCAGATCCGGTTTGGACGTTGTTGCAAACGTAAAAATCCTGCCCTCCCATTGCCTCTTAACTGCAATAAATTCAGGCCTAAGTCTATGTTAGCATTTTTCATATTTAATTTAGAGGTGAAGTCATAGGGTCTCTGAAACTGCAAAAATTAACAATTTTAATAACATGGCCGTGTTCACTCCCCTTGAACCAGACGGCTCCAAAGCCACTGGGTTAAGATCCGTAAACGACCAGAACTCTTCTTACAACACAAAAGGACCGCTATGTAGAATTGCATTTGCTATGCAATTATAAGACGTGTTATACCGTTCTTTAAAATAATTGGTGACGTAGGCAAGTCAGATTCGACCCCGCCGGTCGAATGCGGCCCTTACTGTCCCATTTTCAGTATTCATTTAGTTTCAAATGCGTGTCAAACAGATGTTACGTGGTTTTCTGCCAGGAAGCATTAATTGAGTTTTGTGCTTCCTTACAAGTGTCTTGATTCCTTGGCTTACGTAAAGTTGGCACGAAATTTGACTAGTGTATTAATAAGATGATAGAGTTGCGTCATATTGTGAAAATATATATTTAAATAATTAATCTTGTCCGTCTAATCACAATTTAAAATTAAGATAGTTAAAATACCATGTGATGCTCCTTATCGAAACATTCGATTTACATTTGGAACATCACTTTCTCACTACATGTTTCGGTTCTTAGATGAACCATCTTCAGGTGTGTAAAAATTACAATTATATAAACTTAAAACTTAATCATAATTTCTTATATGCAACTTTTTTGTAGTTGTTTATCAGTTATTAGTGGTGCATATAAAAAATTATGATTAAGTTTTAAGTTTATATAATTGTAATTTTTACACACCTGAAGATGGTTCATCTAAGAACCGAAACATGTAGTGAGAAAGTGATGTTCCAAATGTAAATCGAATGTTTCGATAAGGAGCATCACATGGTATTTTAACTATCTTAATTTTAAATTTTAAATTGTGATTAGACGGACAAGATTAATTAATTAAATAGTGTATTAATGCGAACAGAACTTTTTACGTATGGAATAATACAAATCGAAGTTCTAGTGAACAGCCACCGATGTGCAATTAAATATTATGTAAATTGACATTTCATAAATGTAGTCAAATGATAATTCTCTTGAACAGAAAACGCAGCAGGCCAATGTTTTACAAAATGTTCAAGTTATTTTATTGTAATGTTCGGTTTTGCGTTATATACGGTTGGGATATGCTTATGCTCTCTACTAAAGAGTTGGTCGCCACTCCTTTGTGGCGTTAAATGTTACAAGTCGACACCAGAAGCGTCACTAAGAGTGACTTTCTTCTTGTATATCAGCACAATTCGTTTCAAAATTTAAAAGATAATGTCCATGATTATATTTGCCTATGATTATGTTCGAAATTTCTTTGGAGGGGTTGAATTGTTGTGTTGTGTTATATAGAAATAAAAATTTGTGATTCCTCGTTGTCATCAAAAAATGACGTCATCAACAATGCTAACAGATATTTGTTTACTCGGCATTGTTGTGGAACACAACAATGCCGAGTAAACAAATAACGCTTCACAACAAAGAAATTAAAAAATATCAAGCCAGTCGTATTATCACTGCTCCAGAAGGAGCACTTAGCATTCTTGAATATTGACTGACAGTTGGCCTAAAACATCATAAAAGTGAAAGAAGACGTTATCAAGTATTTGAAGTACTCCAACAAGGTAAACTGATACTCATTCGATATATTACGATTAC